TCTCATCTTTCCACCACTATTAAGCCGTTCTTGCTTTGCTTAGGTTCAGGTATAGCTCGAATGATATATTTTATTCAACCTCGAAGTTCTGCAGATATTTTTGGATATGAAGGAAACGTTGAAGGTGGTGCATTATTTAGTGGGTTTTTAATATTTTGGTATGAAAGGCATATAATTTTGAGTGAGAACAATCAAGTATATTTAATTTTTATATGCAATCAATCAATCAATCATTTATTTTAAATTTTTTTTTTTAGGACAAGTTTAGTTTTATTTCAAAATATTGTACCAATTTCATTATATGTTACAATCGAAGTGGTGAAAACTGTACAGGTAAATTAATATAACATATTATAATAACGATGATACAAATATTTATTATATTTGCAAAATAATTTATTTAATCATACAAACGCACATGCATATCTTTTTATTTGTAAGGCATATTTTATTCATTCAGATATTGAAATGTATTATGAAAAACTTGATTATCCATGCGTTCCAAAAACTTGGAATATTGCTGATGATTTAGGCCAAATTGAATATATTTTTTCTGATAAAACTGGCACCTTGACACAAAATGTTATGGAGTTTCGTAAATGTACAATCAATGGTGTTACATATGGATTAGGTGAAACAGATGCTATGCGTGGTGCAAAATTACAAGAACGGCTTAATAGTGGTGGAAAGATGAGAGGTGATGGTGATGATGATGATGATGAAGTTGATTTGGAGGCAGAGAAAAAATTAATGTTAAAAGAAATGTCAAATTTATTTGAAAATAAATACACCTCCCAAAAACTTACATTCATTGATTCAAAATTATACCAGGATTTAAAAGTTATGGAGCAACAATCAAAAGCTATCCAAAATTTCTTTTCCGCATTAGCACTTTGTCACACTGTACTAGTTGAACATCCCAATGAAAATGATCCTTATGAAATTGATTATAAAGCTCAATCACCAGATGAGGCTGCTTTAGTTAGCTGTGCAAGAGATGTTGGATTTGTATTTCTTGAACGGTGCCAGGATACTTTAGCAATTGAAGTGATGGGTGAATATAAAGAGTTTATATTGTTAAATGTCTTGGAATTTAATAGCACCAGAAAAAGAATGTCAGTCATTCTACGTTCACCTGACGGAGGAATAGTTTTATTGTGTAAAGGTGCTGATAGTGTAATATATGAACGTTTAGAAAAAGGATCTCAATCAGAATTAAGACAAGAAACTTTAGAAGATCTTGAAGTTTTCGCTAAAGAAGGTATTTATATATAAACATATATCCAATATATCCAATATATAATATATATTAATTATATTAAAAATTACAAAAAATAAAAATTAAAAGGACTTAGAACACTTTGTATAGCATATCGTACTATATCAGAAGAAGAGTATAGTGTATGGTCAACAAAATATGCAGAAGCAGCATCTAGTATTAATGATAGAGAAGAAAAGATAGAAAAGGTGTGTGAAATGATTGAACATTCATTGATATTAATGGGAGGAACTGCAATAGAAGATCGACTTCAGGAGGGCGTGCCAGAAACTATAGCCACATTGGCACAAGCTGGTATTAAGTTGTGGGTATTGACAGGTGATAAAGTGGAGACAGCCATTAATATTGGATTTTCTTGTAGCCTGTTACAAAATGATATGCTTCTAATTATCATAAATGCATCAGACAAAAAAAGTATACTTTCCCAGATAAATGAAGCAATTGAAAATTTTTTCGAAAATCAAGACGAAAAGAAAAGTAAGCATGCACTGATCATAGATGGCGAAACACTCAAGTATGGATTAGATGATAGTGTGAAACCATATTTGTTAGATCTTGGTAAAAGATGTGAGAGTGTTGTTTGTTGTCGTGTGAGCCCATTGCAGAAAGCACAAGTAGTTTCTATGGTGAAAAATGGATTGAATGTGATGACATTATCAATTGGAGATGGTGCTAATGATGTTAGCATGATACAAGAAGCAAACATAGGAGTTGGAATTGCTGGTGAGGAGGGGCGGCAAGCAGCAATGTCTGCAGATTTTGCATTTGCACAATTTAGATATTTGGAAAAGCTTTTGCTTGTTCATGGACGTTGGTCATATATCAGAATAGCAGAAATGATTTCATGTTTTTTTTACAAGAATATTGTATGGACAATTGCAATGTTTTGGTACCAAACACAGGCTGGGTTTTCTGCAGAATATCTTTATGATTATTCATATATCCTGCTTTACAATCTTGTTTTTACAGCAATTCCTGTAATGTATTTGGGTGCATTTGATCAAGATGTAGATTCTAAAACTTCTTTTAAATATCCACAACTTTATAAAAGAGGCATTTTACAACAAGATTTTACAAAATCAAAGTTTTGGTTATACGTAACGGATGCAGTCTATCAATCACTTATTTGTTTTTTTGTTCCATATGGACTACTTCAATTTGGACAATCTCATAGCACTGGACTGACAAATAACAGCTTAAAAGATTTGGGAACTGTAGTGGCAGGAGCAGTGGTGGTAACGACTAATTTATATGTTGGGCTTAACATTTTGAATTGGTCATGGATGGGATTTTTTGTCATTGGTTGTAGTATTCTATCATTTTATTTATGGGTAGAACTTTACGCCATAGTGTATTCAATAGGATTCTTTAGAGTGGATGTGATATTATTTTCTGATATAGATTTTTGGTTGACGATTACTTTTGTTGCTATGATTAGTATTATGCCAAGATATATTGTTAAGTATCTTCATAAGTCGTATTGGCCAACTGATACAGATATTGTTCGTGAACAAGTTTATCAAGAAAAGAAACTTAGAAAGGGAGGGAAACGAACGGTTGTTGATGAAGAAGAGGATAGATCTCCAATTAATGTAGGTTATACGACTAATGATACACATGAAAATGCATTCAGTGGAAATTCAACGATGAAGAACACGACATCTGAGCCAACATCAATAACAACAGCAGCAATAAATGAAGATATAAAATCATCATCAATATTACCAAATATCAAACCAAGGAATCATAGACCGACAGGATCTATGAGATCAATTGAACAACTTATACATATGGATTCTGGTAAAAGGCAATCGTTTACAGGATTTGCATTCTCAGTTGAGGAGAGTGGGTTTGAGAATTTCAGAAAATCTGTTTATAAACCTATACAAAATATTAACAATAAATTATATAGATCTAAAACCATAACTAACACTAATCCTTCAATAAAAGAAAATAAATCAAAGTCATCATCAAAGAATTTATTATATCCTACACAATTACCATTAAATCGTAGTAAATCTTTGCCTAGTACTTTATTTAGTAGATTGTCGTCATCTAGTAATATCAGTGGATCCCCTTCATCAATTAATTTAAGTTTTAATAATAATAATAATAATAATAATAATAATAGGTAGGGAAGTTGGAATTTCAGTAATTTCATTATAATATTAATAATATTTTATATTTAGATTGTAATTTTAGTTTTTAGATTATAATTTAGGTTTATATGTACGCATTATTGTATAGTATTTTAGAAAACTTTTTTTTTGTCTTTAGACGATTATACTGATAATTTAATGACAATAATAATAATAATAATAATAATAATTTTAATATTAATATTAAAACTAATGATCTATTAATAATTTTGTAAAATATAATATATAATTTTATTTATTTATTTATATAGTACTGTAATTTAGTTAAATAATTTGTGCAAAAAAAAAAAAGATTTATTAAACGGCTTGAACGGGTATTAATGTTCCATTATTATTATATTTTGCCTAAAGTATTATTCAAAACCTTGTTAATAATAATAATAATAATAATAATAATAATAATAATAATCATAATCATAATCATTATCGTTACCTTAAAGAATGTATAGGATAAAGTAATTGTATCAACATCATTCATCAAAGGATCACTTGAAAATTCGGGATCAATGAAAAAGAATACAGGCATATCGACTTTTTCATTTGCTTCTAATTTTTGTTCTTCGAAACAAAAACACTGAATTTTATTAAAATATTGAGCAACCTTTGCTGGTGTGACATTATAAGTTGCAATTCCAATAATGTCTTGACTAGTTTTATTTTCTGCTGTGTAAAAAGCAAGAGCTGATTCACCAGGCAAAACTTTTAATTCACGTTGTTGAGGATGAAAACTCCAGGGCAGAGACATTGAAGTATCTGAATTAAATTTTATCTTCAGTCTTCTGGATGATTTGTCTGGTATCAATCTATCAGTGTTGTCGTTATTGTTGTTGAGTATAATCGGCGTGCCTCCAAATCCTGTTGTTTGACAAAATTTACGATATAAAGGAACTGCTGCATATGTTAAACCTAACCCGAACATTAATATTGAAGCTGTATACATTAACAAAGATTTATTTCTATTTAATCTAACATTACTATTATATAAAATGTTTTTTGTTGAATAAAAACTTTTATTACAATTATTTCTAAATATTACATTTTGTCCAATCCTGTTGATAAAATACATTTTTTTTTTTCTTCAAGATCAACACATGTTAAAGTTTGAAATTAAAATCAAAATTTTGGGAATACAAATTCTGACTGGCTAATTTGAATTCACGCGTGTGTTTTCCCGTCACGTGACTTGGGATTTATTTCGGAAGCAAAGGATTAAATGATAAAGGAAAATTATATTTTATTTTAATTCGACTAATGCATAGAAAAATAGACCTATATTTTTATATTACAGAGTTTGTTATAATTTTTATAATGAGGAAAAAGACCAAGGAAAAGTCCAATTAACAATTCGCAGATAAATTCAGCTAAATTGACTTTAAGAAAAAGTTATCTTTATTTATAGTGAAGTTATCGGAAAGATAATTTTAAATATATTTGCAGCTTCATTTTTTAAATTTAGTTTTTTGTAAATCTTAACAAGAGTTAGTAAAAAAATTTTATTTCAATATTACAAGAAATTCTTTACCTATTTATAATTTTTGTTCTCCTTAAACACAAAGAATTTCTTGAACCGTAAAGAAAGTGATTTGGCCGAAATTCTATTTCTAAATTCATCTAAATCCTGAAATCGAAAAAAAAAATTAGTATATTATTACGATTTAAAAATATTCTGGATGCAGCAAAAGAATACACTGTGATCATTATACCTTTAAATCATTAGAAAAAACTGTTCCTTTGACATTAATTAGATTCTGTTTCTCTTGAAAAAACTCGAAAGTTTGCTCGCAGGTCTTGGAGATTTATTGATGGTTATAGAAAGGTATCAACAGGCATAGAAGCTTTATATTCAGTAAAAGATATAAAATCTCAAAAAAATTCCAAATAATGTTATTTATAATAATAAATATCAAAATTTCTCCGTGTCGTTTTCCAAATTTTGAGTTTTGTGGGCCTCGGTGGAATTTGGTAGTGTGGCGCAAAAATGACGGCTTATAGACTTCGCGTACCATATTAGATAGTATATAGTCACGCGTAGTAGTGGTGATTGTATTCGAATATTCATATTTTAGAAAATTGAAATTTTTATTAAAATCAATAGGGGCATGCTCCAACTAGAGTTTCGAATAAAATTGATTAGAACGATTGTTTTATTCGAATAGTCATTCAAAGCGATTCGAATGCTCAAATAAATTACGAGTCATACAAATCATTCGAATAAACCTCATTCGAGTAGAAACCTAGCTGCAACAAATCGAACATTATAATTAGGTCACAGGTGATTAATTACAGAGGTCAAAATTTAGTGGGCTCAGAAAATATTCATAAGAATGATTACTTATCATATGATCAAATTAGAAAGAAAAGGAACTGTCATCCAACGTGACTAAATAATAGAAAGAAAAAATAATCATTGCAACATTTTTGTAATAATGATTGATACAAACATCAAAACAATCAATAAATCACACCATACTTGTTTGTAGACGAAGAGCTCGTTGGATGTAAATGGCAACAAAGTACATGCCGGTGAAGAATTGTGGAAGTACGTGTATGTGTATGAACCATCTAAATAGAATATAAAAAAAAGGAGAGTTAACAAATACTAAACAAGTTTGGGGGACGGTACCCCTTCATATAATAGGATAATAATAAAATTTGAAGAAGCATTTGTACACTAAACTTTAACACCCTTGAAAGAGAAACTGCTTGTCTAGAGTATGCCCAAAGCCTATATGGAATGGCGTCAAACAAGGAACAAAAGACCAATAGTAGTAATAATATTATTAATAATAAGGATTAAGGAGGAATTAAACATGAAACGCTTTACTAATATACAATTCTTTTTAGAATTTCTTTTTCGTGTTCATTTTACGGGGTACATGCATTATTAATAACGTTTCAACAAATTTATATGCCTTTTTTTATTGAATAACACGAATCTAATTATAATTCGTTGAAACAAGGTTTGACTTTATACAGTTTGAGTTCCAAGGTTCATTCTCTGAAAATTTCAATGATCATTCTTTATCCTGTGGTATATATATTATTAATATTAATATAGTAATAGATGTATATGAATAGTTCATACTAATATAGTAATGCCCTGAATTCTTAATGTAAAATTAATATTAATATGTCAAGAAGATGTTGTATACCGGAATGGGGCAAATAAAGCCAATTGAATATGAACTTGTAAATTAAAAGCATAAATTTTAATTTTATTTGTGGAATGTTAACAATAAAGTACATCTCCTCTCTAATTGGATTATGATCACGTGAATTTCTAACTAGTTAATTAAATACTAGGTATTAATAATGAAAGTATTAATGTAAATATTAAATGATTATAATTATAGTTTATTATGTTGAAAGAATTACTTGAAACTTGGTTTTTATTTGGATCATAATTACTATTACCACTATAATTACCACCAAAATTAATATCTAATTGAAATTTAACGTCAATTTCATTTGGATTACTAACAGCCAAACATTGTATTGTATTATTTGCTAATGGTTGTGATGGTGTTGTAGATTTTATACATGATGAAACTGGTTCTTTTTTTTCATTCATACATGAATATGCTTTATAATACCATGCAATTTTACCATTTGGATTTAAATATTTCAGCATTTCTGTACTATTTGTCAATACAACCATCACTCCTAATGATGAATCTTTAATATCTAGTGTGATTGTTTGTGAAGACGGCGTTATTGAAGATGCTGGTGATGATGATGATGCTAATGATGAATATGGTGATGATACAATATTAACAAAATTGGATTTTAATGACCATCCTGGTGCTAGTTCACCAAAATTTGATGTGACTGTCAAATCGTCTCGGTCCATTATTACAGTTAAATTATATGCTAAAGAAAAATTTTTTAATATTTCTTTCTTCAAATACTTTTAAATGATTATTATTATTGTTATTATTATTATTACCTATTTGATTTGTATCTTGATTACTACATATATACCAAGTATATAAAGATGGAATATTTGCGATTCTTTGACTTTTTATTCTTCTAATCTATGTATAGCAAGCAATCAATATATTAATTAGCCTCTACAATAATTATCAGATCAAAGAGAAAAAAAATTTAGATTACCATAAATATTATTATTGTAAGTGATATTATTTTATTAATTATTTTCATTTCGTATTTATATTTAGTAATTTTATTTTACTTCTATATTATTACATTAATATATATACACATAGATATACTTTCTAGTGAATTTATATATATATATTAATATCTAGTAAATATTCAAAGGAATGAAAAGGTCATCATTTTATAAATTTCGTAAGAAAGTAAACAATCATGTAGTGTAAATTATTTACAAATTATTTTGCCATTGATTGTTTGTTTTTTTCGTTGAATCACACCGAAAATTTTATTGGTTAATTATTCCACGTTGTAAAAATTCATTTATTCATTTTATCTTATGGTAAATATTTATAAGAGAATTTTTTTTTTAGAAAAAGCCAGAGTTAACCAAACCATCAAAGCCTACGGTTCATCTATAATCGTTAATTGCTTATAGTATAACAATTGTTCAGCTTCAGAATACTAAAACAAAAAATTTTATACCATTTTAAAAAGTTGACCGATAGTTTTATTGTTCATGACTCAAGCTTCAATCAAAACTTATCGGATAGTTTTAAAACTAAAAATTAGCTGCCAAATTTTGTTGTTATACAAAGTAAAATTTGTGTAACAGGTTTTTTATATATAGAATATTTTGATTTATTTATATTATTTGCTGTATTTCCTTTTTTATTAATCGAGCATAAATACCTGGAAAAATTGGATCCTAAAAACAAATTATGATATAATAATTGAAATAAATTCTTTTGAATATAAATTTTAAGAATCCACCAGGATCCACAATAATTTTTTTTTCTTACATATAGGATAAATATTGGTCTAAAATTCCATTTATTATTATTTTTTGTTAGATTTTATAATTACAAGTTAGTAATGACAAACACTACCACTAGCTAATATTCTACCATGTTTGTAGCAAATAAATATCCAAAAAATGACTGAATCTCATTGCTAAGTATTTATTCAAAGTATGCTTTTGCAAAATTTAAATGATGTAAATTATTCATATTCATTATTTTTAAGAAACAACTACTGAATTTTATTTAACTTTTTATAGTTTCAATCATATTAGAACTGTTTATTTATTTATTTTTACTATATAAAATTTTGCATGGAATTTATTTGTATCTGTTGTACGTGAAAATGAAATTATGTGAATTCGCATTCACATATGTGAAATTCAAATTTATATACGTGAAATTCAAATTAGCCAATCAGAATTTCACCCCACTCCATAACAATAATATTTCAATTTCACATAATTTCAATTTTCACACACAACATAAAACTTCATAAACTGTTACACACAAGTGATGAGGGAATTCATTTATAAATTAATATTTCATGATTATACATGCAGCCCAAAGTACTTTGACACTTATGTTTTTAATAGTGTGTGCCATAATTAATTTCTACTTTCTACATCAAAATTGGAATAATTTTGACCATCGAAATCACCAAACCAATTTGGGTTGCATGTATATTCATGATATTATTTATTAATTTTATAATTTTAACAAGAATAAGAAAAAAAGAAGACATTGTAAATCATCTATATACAAAAGGTATAAATTAACAATTTACTATTAATTTCAACATGCATCATTAATAATAATAAGGAAGGAAATGCAAAGAGCCAGGCACATTTCTTCTAGTCAAAGACTCACCCCTAGCACTTCCTCTGAATCTTCTGATAGGTAGTTTCAATTTAAAAAGAATGGAATACAAACTTGTATATAGCAGAAATGCCATTTGATCTATTAAAAGCATTTTGGGTAAATTTTATATTTATTAAATTTATTTGTTTTATTAGAATGGATTCCAAAAGAAATTACAAGTTTGGGGTTTTTACATCAAAAGAAAATTATTATCATTTAATTCATAAATGTTGTAACACGAAAATTATTATTGCATTTCAATTTAAAAAATCTGAAGACAAATTTTTTTTTAGATCAAAATCCAACGGATAACATAATTTTTAACTTTTGAGTACAGATGATCTACACTGTAGCTTGATTGTTGCGAAACAACCTGATTGAGCTGAAAATTTAGTTCTTCTCTTTTGAAATGTGGTGGAACCAATACATTAACTTCTTGAATATGCAAAAAAAAATTTTTTGTCATATATTGCGAGAGGAATTGATGACTCAGTTCCATTTCCTCTATTTATAAAAATTCTAATGTGAAAGAATCCAATAGAAAATTTATTTTTAATGATATTCATCTGTTTTTCATCTGTAAAAAGACTACACAAAAAATATTAATTAATTAAAAAAATTATGTAATAATTGCGCACACATGCTTTTCAGCTCGTTTCATAAATAATATATCGTATTTCTTGATTGTTTTTACACGGGCTTTTTCTCTTTGATTCCACTTTTTTTTTTGCCCAATTAATTAATTATTACATTACACTTTTTTTTTGAATGAAAAAAACGTGAAATCGAAAATTATTATATATAACTAGCACTAGTCTATAAAGAAGAAGAAAACTAATTACTTTTTTGAGAATAAAAATTTTACGACCAATGTCTTCTTTACCAAAAAGAATAAATTCTCATACAGTAATAACTTATTAGTGCTTAGTAACTACGTGATAGAAGCAATATATCTTTTATTATGGTTAATATTTTTAGGGAATTGAACAGTTAATACGGCTCCTGGTATAAATGCAATTCCACGTGAAGAAAACCTTCGATACTTTGATGCTCTTATGACCGGTCCAATTCAATCACCATTTGAAGGTTTATAGCATTAAATAGTGAATAAAGACATATACAAATAATATATTTATCTGAAAAAAAGAATTGTTTTTAATAGGTGGTATTTTCAATTTGAAACTTTTTCATCCCGGAGGATATCCATTGTGGGAACCACCTAAAGTTCGTTTTCTAACTAAAATATATCATCCAAATATTAATAAAAACGAAGAGTTTGGTTGGAAATTTTAAGAGGCATTTGTTTTATATTTTAAATTTTTCATAATATTCATTATTTTTTTGTTTAAGACAAATGGACACCAGCTTTACAGTTCGTACAGTGCTTATTTCTGTGCAAGCACTTTTATCTTCTCCAAATCCTGAACAACAATTTGATATGGATGTCAGACTACATTGGAGGGAAAATGAAACAGCAGCAATTTCAATCGGTAAACTTACTAATGAACTATTAATAAAATAGAATCACGATTGATTTTTTTTAATATTAAATTAATAAACAGCTCAAGAATGGACTAGGAATTATGCTTAAGGTTATTTTTATATATATACATTTAATTTCAATTTTAATAATTTATTTAAATAAAAAATAAAGAAAATGCTTTTTAATAAAAATAAATTTTTTAAGCACCCTTAACCCTATTTGTACCACGAAGCAAACCACTTCTTCTGGCTGCAATCAAACCAACCTGCCAAAAGAAAATTAATTTTTATTAAATTGTAAAATATTATTAAACATTTATCATCTATCACACACAATAAACACATTACCTTTTGACCAGGAACACTTTCTCTAGAAACGGTAGAAGCGTGTCCAATATGTTGATGATTACCACCACCATGAGGATGGTCAACAGGATTCATAGCAACACCACGAGTTTTAGGCCAACTATTTCTCTTAACTCTATATTTATGGAAGGCTCGACCGGCTTTAAGCATTGGTTTATCAATACGTCCTCCACCTGCTACAATACCGATGGTTGCACGAGCAGATGAGTTCACCACTTTTTTTGCTCCTGATGGCAACTTGATACGAGTCTTGCCTTCATCATGATTATGACCAATAATTGTGGCATAATTCCCTGATGTTCTAGCCAATGCACCACGATCTCCAATTTTTTCTTCAACATTGCTTATAATTGTACCTTCTGGCATTGAATTCAATGGTAACACATTGCCAACTGTTAATGATGCTTTTTTACCACAATATATAAATTGACCTGTGTGTAATCCTTCAGTTGCAATAAAAGTTTGTAATCGAAGTTTATACCTAAAAAGAATTACAACAATAAATGATTAATTAATCTTTCATTACTGCTTAATTGATCATGATATTATAAAGTATAATACCGATATGGATCACGAAATTGAACTTTTGCAAGAGGCGCACCACGACCTGGATCATGAATGATTTCTTTTACTATACCTCTAATGTATCCATTACGTTCAGCATAATCTAACGATCTTAACTTTGCAGCTCCTTTACGAAGTCTGGTATGAGATTTGAAAATACCTCCTGGTCCTTTCCTTTGTGAGCGAATAACACGACCCATCTCCTTTTACTATAATTATTGTTACAATTAATTTTTTTATATATAGAAAAGTATCACTTTTTTATAAAACAAAAAAAATATCTAAAAAAATATCTAAAAAAATTTTTTTTAAAAAATGCAGATCTCCATTTTAAACCTGTGAACAAATCTTAATCCATTGGTAAACTTGATAAGTCGGATACGAGTAGCTGGTCATGATGGTCCGAATTATCGAAACATGCAATTTTACAAAATAATTATTTAATATTAATAAAATACTATTTCTTTATCTAAATAAATTTGCTTTCCATTTAAACCTTTCATCCCGAAACAAATAAATTATTTAATTGTACAGTCAAACTTTATATTAAGTTCTTGTCATAACGGATTTTTAAAATTTTTGCTATATTAAAAGTCCGTTGCGGTAAGATTATAATTATAATTAGTAATCTTGCCACAACGGATTTTAAATAAAATCTTCTAATGTATCCCATTCATCATCTGTGACAAGGTTTGACTGTATATAATTATCCTGTTTAGAGACCTGCATGGATAAAAATGATTGAACCCATATCCGTTGTGTAGGAGAAAGTGAATACTGGACAATATTACAGGCCAAGTTTATGATATATTTTACATTCCAGAATGTAGATACAATCTCGTGGTATAACTAAGCTGAGAAAAATATAACCAAAGTCCTATTTGAATGTATATTTTCTTCACTGGTTTTTTCCTATATAATCAGTTTTAAGTTATGGTTTTACAGGTGATCCAAAAAGGTTTGGGAGTGATGAAGCATTTGTGGATGCAAATAGGACCAGACTTGCAGAAATTGGATGTTAAAAAGCTTGGTCACAATCATCATCCAATTTGCTCTGGAATAATAGATGCCAATTTGGAGCCAATGACCAATTTACCCGTGAGACTCTAGGAGGGAGCTAAACAGTATTCATTGTAAGTGGATTAAGAACTGGTACATGACTGCAAAAAGTTGCTCAACTTTATAAGTGTTCGAGGGGCAGTTCTAGTGCCTTGCGCAGGTTCAGGAAGTACGGCTAGATTTACCAGAAAAATTTGGTGTGTTATATACATAGTTCTTTGATTCAATGTAAGTTTGTTATCTCCTGTAACAAGAATATTTTTCGTTGAGTGATCATATTAAGATATAAGTTGGAGGCTATTAGACTCAGAATATGGGCGACACCTAAATATAATCTACCCAAAGATCTATCCACTATCAATGAGATCTCCTACATGTATGAAGTATTAATACCATTATTCACCATAGCTATGAATGTATTACCCGTAGAATGTGTAGCCTTGAGCAAATGGTACTCATCATGAATTTCTTCCCTACCTGTTTTTGAATTTTTTATGTGGTCTAAATAGAGAAGGATTTTCTTATGTCAGAGATAAACAAAGTTTAATCAGTGCTGAATGAAAAGGTGATTTAAAATTCACTAAAAGACTAGATTATACCATTGTTACCTATATAGGAGATCTAAGAGTCGAGATAGTGTATGGTGAAACTGATTGTCTCGTTTCTGACAAAATTAAAGGAATCACAGGCAAATTTTATGTTTTATTTATTTATTGATTATTCTTATAATGATGAAATTATATCTAGTTGTGTCACATATATATACTAATACATCATATTTATTTACTTACTAAGCAATCTTTTTAGTTGTGGGCTTCCAAGGTCTTCTCTAATATATCCAGAAGAAATTTGAGTAAATTTTAGTCGAAAATAATAATACATACTTCCAATGCTAAAAAGTGAATAATTGATGATTCTATTGAAGACATTGATGATTTTCCAACACCAATTTTGTTTTTGCAAATGCCTAAGAGTGATACAGACCATCATAACTTAAACCTACTACATATGAATCTAGTCTCTCTCCTAAGTCACAAAAATAAGTTCAACAGACACATATCATTATATATATATATCCATCAATAATTCATTATGTACATATATATACATACCCATATTCACAGATCCACCCTTTGAATCTAATAACTGATTCACTGACTTCACACTTGATCTCTTTAATTCATTACCAACACTGGAGAATGATGGAGCTGACATAGCAGGTTTCTTAAGCACAATGCAAATTTCCAATTTTTTATCTGAATCAATTATTAATCATGCAACTTATTCAAGCTCTATACTTAAAATCTTAGCATCTAATGACAACAATAATGATAATAACAATGATAACAATGATAATAATAATGATAAATTCTGAAGAAAATTTTATTTTTTTATTTTTAAAATTCATGTCTGTAATCAACTGTAACAATAATGATAATAAATAATAGTAATTCTATCAATAACATAAATCAATTAATTCTTACAAATGATGTCACAAATAATACAATCCCAATGTGTGTCATTTGATTATGAATGGACTAATGAGATACCAATATGTTCTACCTTTTATTTTCATTTCATGAGGTAAAAGGTGATCAAGGCTTCCAACATCAAGCAGTTGACTATTTACACAATTAGGAACCATGAAAATGATTTGATTAAATTCTTTCCATGAATCTTCTGTTTAAAATTTTTAGTTATTGTCACTGTCATTTATAAACCTTCCATTTTTGAAAAGACTCTTTTCATTTCTGAATCATTTATGATGGTAGTGTCACCGATATTTATCTTGATATTTTTTTGAATAAATTTAAAAATCTCCTGTAATTAGATCAAATTGTAGGTGGACAAGGAAATTTCTAGCAGCACTCAAAAATTAAATAAAGATTCATTCTTTCAAATCTTTGTCATTAACCTCTTATCTAACCTTGTATCACCTAATGATTTCTATTCCATGAGTAAGTATCATGTTCTCTGTGTAATCACACTATTAATTACTTCAATCAATGAAATGAAATTATTAGTCCCTTGCCTTTTGCTTGCATCCTAACCTTTAATTAGCATCATGAAAATGGTACTATCTGTAGAATGAATCCTATAAAAATATTCTATTCGTCTATCACTTAATTAAGCACATACAGCTTTTTTTTAATGTATAACAGTAAATTTCTATACTATTAGTAAGCCGAACATCAGAAGAGAGAACATTACCAAGAATAATGGTTGTTTTTTTTATTTCACAGAGTAACAGTAATTTGGGTATCTGCTTTCAAATTTATTGTTTCTTGGATGTTTTATTTATTTAATTACTCTGGCTATCCAATATTACTAAAAAAACTGAACCAGCATAAAATTAATACTTGTCTCTCTTTGTTAAGCATAGTAGAGGTATCAAGTCTTTTTGTTTACAATCAATCAACTTATCAAAAAATCCGTGCTATGATTTTCATTTTTAAGGTTCCTATATTGTTCTTCCCTTTTGAAGTTGATAATGTCCCAACAGACAAAGAACAAAAACGATGGTGGTGGTCATTCTCAAAAAACAAATTATGGACAAAAAAAAATTTCTAAAAAAAGAGCGACCTTTTTGGTGCGTCGCACGATCGGATTTTATTTTTAGAGTCGTTGTATGTGACTGTGCGACTGTATATAAATATAAATGAATGGGGAACGAGTGAAAAGAAAATTAATTAAATTAATTGTAAATAAACAAACTAAAATAAAAAAAAATGTTAATACTTTCAAATTCCTTTAATTATTTCATAAAAAAATTAATAATATAACAATTATTAAACAACAATCATAATAACAATCATCATAATATTGACCATGGATAATGATCATATCAGTATTGAGACTGGGATTGAAGTTGATGATGATGATAATAATAATAACAATAATAAAGCCAATGATAAAGATGATATTGTTATTGATGATCATCAAGAGATGACACAGATTATTGAAAATGATAATAAAGAAATTAAAATAATCCATGATAACAGTGATAATAACAACAACAACAACAACAACAACAATAATAAGGGTGAAGATGAGGAAAAAAAAAATGACTCATTTGATCAATTCTCTGGATTAGTTGATAGGTTATTATTACTCATCATTTATAATAATGGATAAATTTTTATTTTAATAATTAAATTTAATTTGATTTTAGATATGGATTTTTAATTAGTAAAAGGAATAATGGAGAAAATGATAATAATAATAATAAAGATAATGATGACAAGAAATATTCATCCAAATTAGAGAATAGGTAATTAATTAGTTAAAAAAAAATATATAAATTATTATCATTATCATTAACACATAAATCAAATTCTATTAGAAATAAGAAAAGAGAAATCAAAAGAACAAAAAAATGGGCAATTTCATCTTCAAAGGAAAATAAATCAGAGAAATATGGTGACACATTATACACATTTATGTGGAATAAAAAGGTATCATTATTGCCATTATTTATTATAATATTTATTAACATTTGTAGAAAATTTATTAATTCTCTAATTGATTTTTCAAAAAGTTTATCAAAAGAATACCTAAAGGGATTCCAGATTCTTGGAGAAGTCCAACTTGGTAAAAGAACATTGGAAATTTTAGTTGGTTTTCGATATTTATATTTAATAATTAATATATATATATATATATATATATTATGTGTTTTAGGTATTTTATGATAAATGATGGAAAGATTGAAAAACAAAATGAAGAAGAGTTGATTCAATTATATAAAGTAAAAATCATATTTAAGAAAACATAATACTAGTTCAATTATTATTACATATGTTGATTGATAATTAAAATAAATTATCTAAATGTTTCTTTCTCCTCTCATAAAGAATTTATTAGTTACTTCTTCGTCTCATGAAATTCAAATAAATTTGGATATTCCTAGAACAACTCGATCACATATAATGTTTATATCAGAAGATAGTGCTGGGTTAGTATTACATATATGCGTAGGACCTTTAAAGACTTTTAAAAAATTAATAAATTATAATTTTTAAAACAACATATTAGTCAAAAATCCTTATTTAATATTTTGAAAGCATTTTCAAATCATGATCAACAAGTTGGTTATTGCCAAGGAATGGCTAGTGTTGCAGCAATATTATTAATATATTATCTTGAAGAGGTTTTTTTTTCAATTATTATCATCACTATTATGATTACCATGGAAATTATTTAACCATTATTTAATTGTTTATTTATTTGTAGTTAGCATTTGTAATGTTAATAAAATTGTTCAACAAATTAAAATTACACGACCTTTACATACCTGGATTTCCTTCTTTGTTAGAAAGCTTTTATATACAAGAAATGTTGATGGAAAAATATGCTCTAAAAATATCCAAACATCTTGTATGGAGTATTTTGATAATTAAATTAACATTATCATGTTATTAGCTTGCTTATTATATTGTTTGATCGTTAATATTTTTTGTTTTCAATAATAGAAGAAGAATGAGATTCGAACTGCAACATATGCAACCAGGTGGTACCTAACATTATTCACAAGTGAAGTTGTCCCTCATCATACTTTGTTAAGATTTTGGGATTTACTTATGCTATATGGATTTGATATTTCTTATTATATTGCTGTTGGTTTATTAAAATATAATAAATGTAAATATATATTTTTTAATATCTTTAATATTTATTCAACATTTATTCAACACATCAACCAACCAATCAATTAATTTAATTGAAAATTTTTTAATAGATAAATTAATAAATTTTGATTTTGATGATACAATGTTGGTAATATCAAATCGATTTAAAATAACGAATGATGATAAATTAATTAAAATAATCACCAAAATGTTTTTTAATAAGAATAGAAAAAAACTGCTTGAAAATTTAAAATCTAATTATAATCAGAATAAAATAATAGACTAATAGATTAATGATAGACTAACGATAGATTAATAATTAATAAATAATAATTTTATTTAGATTTTTTTTTTAATAATAATAAATATAAATCTATTTTTTCTTCCTTCTACTCCTCATCTTCTTTCTGCCGTTGTCACCACCACCACCACCCACTTTTCCACCTTTCCCCTCTTGCTGTATTATCACCTCATCATCATCTTCTTCTTCACCTTCATTTTGATTCTGATTAACTTCAATCCAATCATCAAAGTCAACTTTCTTTCTTTTCTTCGTTGACATCATCTTTTCATCATCATTAATATATTCTTTACTAATTTTTTCTCTTAATTCTTCCAAATCTTTATCTTTCTCTGCATATTGTAAAATTAAATGTCTACCCAACAAATGTGTATGTTGTAATTTATCAATAACATTCCTCGCATCTCTTTTTGTTAAAAATTCTATAAATCCAAATCCTCTTATTTGTCCATCAAATTTTTTAGGCAACCTTATTGTTTTAATTTGTCCGTATACACTAAATAAAAAAAATAGTATAAAAAGTCATTTATCTTATATACAATAAGTTTTTCTCTAATTTCAAATAATTTACCTAAATAATTCACTTAAATCTTTTTTTGTTGTTTCAAATGCAAGGTTCTTTACAACAATTTTTGTTGATTCTTGTCTTTTTTTATCATTTTCTTCTTCTTTTCTTTGTCTTTGCACTGAATCTAACCCATGATTGGAAAATTTCAATTGTAATGCATGTCCATCTAATATATAGCCCTTTAAATTTATTTTTTATTGTTTAAAAAAAAAACCCCCCGTAATATTTATTAGATGTATGTGCTGTTTCATAATTTCTAATCAACATAATATTAGTTTTTATTATTATTATTACCTGCATGACTTTTAATGCATTTTTGGCAGTTTTCATACCATCATATTCAATAAATCCAAATCCCATACTTAGTTTTTTACCTGGATTTTTTGGATCATTTTTCATTTTAATCCTAACAGACCTTAATCCAGGTGTATTCTTAAATGTATTTTTCAAACTTTCTTCAGTTGTATCAAAACTAATATTTTTAACAAATAAAGTTGCCGCGATTTCTGATGATGTAACAACTTCCATATCTTCATCCTCTTCCTGCCCCCCTTCATTATTCTTATTACTACCAATATTGTTATTAGATGACGATTCTACCAAGTCTGCTGATGATAACGGAGGTCGTGTTTCGTTATCAAGATTTGCTGAATCTAATTGAAAAATATCTTTTGGTGCTTTTTCTAAGTAAAGAGGAACTCCTTTAAATTTTTTATATGCTAGATCTTGAAATGCCGTTTTTGCTTCTGTCGAATTCTTATACTCTATTATTGCAATGGTTTCTGCAGGTGGCACTATTAACTAAAAATGACAATAAATTATTAATATTAATATTAATAATGACATTAAAAATTTACGACGTATGATTTTTTAATATCAGCTATCTATTAATTCATTCATTCACCGAACTGATATCTATTGGTTATTTAATTGATTGATTGATTGATTGATTGATTGATTGATTGATTGATTGATTAAACTTACACGTTCAATATCACCATACCATCCAAAAATTTGTTGCAATTCTTCTTTTGCAACTCCAAATGGCATATTCTTTACTAAAATTATTGTATCACTTTTTTCTTTTTTGTTAAATGATTCCAATTTAACTCCTTGCTAGAATTTTAAATTATTTAATGACAATATTATTTAACAATACTTAACAATTATAAGAAAAATTATATATATATATATTAACTTGTTCAAAATATCCTTTAGTTTCTTGAATTATATGAGTTTCTGCAAGTGCAAGTTTGGCTGCCATATTATCTGAATTAGGGTCAAGGATATCCGATTTTTTAATATCAAGCCTTTTTGCAATCGATTGTACAATGGCATCACTCTAGCATATTAAAAAATTGAAAAATTCCAATTTATAAAATTTAAAAAAATTCAATATATAAATTTAATAAAAATCCATAAACTTACATTCATATATAATGTATTCCAATTAAAATCATTTCCTGCTAAAGATTTTTGTTTCATTTCCCTTTGCATTTTCAAATTTGATCTGTAGCTGTTGTTGTTGTTATTGTAGTTGTTGTTGTTGTTTATTGAATCAAGTAGCAATAATTCTTTCCTACTTTTAGGCTTTTCTTTCGATGGTAAAATATGTAATAATCTTCCCATAAAAAATTGATGATCAAGCTCTATAAATGCCTTGACTGCGTGTTCTGGAATATGATATAATATATATGCAAACCCTTTTTGTATTTTGGTTTCTTTATCAATTGGTAAATGAACCTAAAAAAAAAAATCAATCAATTAATATTTCGGATTATTATATAAATATGTTAAATAAACCATTAAACGAATAATTGCTTACTTCAGCAAGCGGTCCATATTTATTAAATAATTTTTGCAAATCCTCTTCCGTAGCTAAATATGGTAAATTTCTAACAAAAAGTCGTCCTGTTTCGCCGATAGATTCTTCAGGTGGCATTTCATCAGAATTTTTTGACTCGGGATTTTTTCGTAAATCAATAGAGTATGGAATTTTCATGTTATCTGCTGATGACTTATCATCCCGGTTATCATTTTCATTTTCATTTTCAATTTTAGTTTCTCCATGAACACTTTCAGTCTTTAACTCGAATCTTTTATTAACACTAATCTAAGTAATTTAACAATCAATTAATATTTGAAAAAATAATATCTATTTATAATAAAAAGAAAAACCACAATTACTTTTACGTCATCGTCATCATCACCATCATCACCATCCAAATCGAATCTTCTTCTCATTCTCGCTTTAATCCAATCAGAATCAGATACGGAAGGATCTTTATCAATATTTTCTCGCTCGTCATCTTTTTTATCATCTAAATCAGCAGCATTTTTTTTATTTTTTGAACTTGGTAAATCTTGATATAAATTGTCATCTTCTTCATCACTATTATCAATAATCATTTTATTTTGAAAATCTAAATTTGTTATTTCGTCATCATTTGTCCAAGTTTTTGATTTTGATCGTGGTTGCATGACTTGTAAAAATTCATTCAATTTTTCATCATCGTCAACAGAATTTTTTGTTTTTATATTATTAGGAAAACTTGCTTCAAATTTAACTAAATTATCATCACTTTTTTTATTTTTCCCATTATTCTTATCGCTGCTATCACCATTGTTGTTAACATTGTTATTTGATTCAATTGGATTTCTTTGTTGATATTTAGATGAGCCTAAACTATAAGCACTCCATGGTCTTGGTAATGATGAATCATCAACCTTTATTAAAAAAAAATTTTTTTTTGAATTAAAAAAATTAGTAAAGAATTTTTTATTAAAAAAAAAAAAAACTAATTGTTATAATTTACAGGTTTCGCCAGTTCCACAATAACTTTTGAAGTATAAATATACGTATTATTAAAATATTTTATTGCTTCATTAGCTTCTTTTTCTGTACGATATCCAATAAACCCAAAACATCTTGATCTTCCATCACTACAAAAAAAATTTTTTTTAGATGATAGAGATTGTTAATAATAATGAACATAGTCATCAATTAATCAATAACCAATAATAAGTTAATTACGATGTTGTCATAATTTTTGCATCTGTGATTTTTCCTTTACAAGAAAAATGATCGCGAAATTTATCATTATTTAAATTCTTTGGAAGATTTTTTACTATTATGCGTGACCTATAGATGAAACATATGATGAATATATATGAATATTATGTAGTTAGAAAAAAGATCCTAATCAAATCAAAGATAAAACTTAAATAGACAATGAATTTACATTTTTTTAAAAAATAAATTTTTTAATCTGAAAAATTGATAATCCCAATAATCACATGCAATATAGTTGTCGCACCACCTACTGGGGTGTTACAAATTATAATAAACACAAACATAGTTGAGCACACACACATAAAAAAATCATATGTGCGGATTTTTCGCCGATCAATATATGTAAATTTTTTCAATATGAAAATTCAAACTCTATCTCC